TTCCATGCGGTTTGGGTTGATTTCTTGGGATTTCGCAGCATTTAGGGCTGGGGCGTCGCGTTGGTTTCGCAATAAGGGGAAGGGAGAGGGCTAGATCGTCAGTTGGTTAGAGTACTGGGTTGTTGGTCACTGGCATTGAGGGGCAATGGTCGGTGTTCGCCGGCAGTCAGAGGCGGCTGTAGGTGGTCTTGGCAGGGTCGGGGACTGGTTAAGTAGCTGGTTAAGATTTTTTCCTAGAATCCGGCAACCTCCTTCCCCTCCCTTTCCTCGCACCCCCTTCGACCACCAATTGGTCGGGTTTAGGGTTTTCGGTCGAGTTTTGGGAAGTGGGTGAATCTTTAATGGAGTTTCGAATTTTGGGGTTTAAGGGTGGGTGGGTCGCAACGGGAAAGAGTAGGGGAAGGGGAGGACTTGCTTCGGAGGCCACCAGAGTGCCTGCCAGTAAAGGTGCAGGTCGCCGGGGGCAGGGTTTCAGGGTTTGGCGGCAGAGGGGGTGGCGGCTGGGGTTTAGTTGGTTTTCTGTTTTTTTTTTATTATTATTTTATTTTATTATTTTTTTTTTGGTTTTTTTATTTTTTTTTAAAAAAAGGACTAATCAGAAGGTGACACGTGACAAGTGGTAGGTCAACTAACGGTCAACTAACAGCTGTTAGTCATTAATGGCACTTGGTGAATTTTTTTTAAAAACTCGGTGGCATTTGGTGAATTTTGAAAACATCGATGGCATTTGGTGAATTTCGCAATTATTCAATGGCATTTGGTGAAATAGCCGATAAAAAAAAATATTATTGTTAATATTACACACTTTTTTTTGTTTATAATATAAATGTATTACAAAGTATTATATTTACTATTTTATTTTATATAATTATCTTATAATATGGTATAAAAGTAAAAAATTTTGTTTTTAAAAATATATAGATGTGGGAATGGGGTGGGGATGGTGTGGGTACGAAGTGGGGCAGAGCGAGCATCACACATGGCGAGTATGGTTTTTATCTCCATCCCTGCTCCACCCGCCAAACCGAAACCTATCTGGGGCGGGGATGGGTGGAGCGGGGATAGGGTGAGTCTCCTACTTGACCCGCCCCACTGACATCTAGGGGTGTTCACCGGTCCAAAACCGGACCTATTGGGACCGGGACTTGAATTAGGGAATTTTTAGGACCGGAGACCGGACCTGATTCAACAGGTTCGGGGTTCGGTTCCGGGTTAGACCTGAAAAATCAGGTCCGGTCCGGGTTTGGACCTGAATAGACCTGGTTTTGTTATTTTTTCGTTTTTTTTTAATAAATAACCTGTTGGACCTGCATATCGACCTGTATATAGACCTGTTTTGTGAATTTTAAACCAGTGCATAATTTAATAATTACATATTTGACCCTGTAGGACCAGAATGGATACAATACTGTCAATACAGATCTAACCTAAACCCTAATACATACACCCCTACGCACAACCCACCACCGCAACCTCCTTTCCTTCTACCACCCACCCCAGCTCACCCCTTAACCACACCATAACCCCAACAACCCAGACCCACCGATATCCACCCAGAACCCAGAAAAACGAAAAAATTGAAAAAAAAAAAACCCACCACCGTCCAGGCGTCCACCGCACCCACAACCCAGAAAAAACAGAAAAAAAATCCAAATTCCACACATACATCCGAACAAAAAACAAAAAAACGAACGAATAAATAAATAAAAAAAACAAGTTATACATAAAATTGTCAGAAAATCCAAGACAAAAAAAAACAGAAAATTCCGAAAAAAAAGATCTACAAACTTACATTACAAAATTTATAATTTTACATTACAATTCCATCAAAAAAAAATAATTATAATCGTCAATTGTATGAAAAATAAAACTAGATCTACATACTAACCTATATTAAACTAGATCTAAAGTACAAACTCTGGTGAGTGGTGACGACAGATGGTGAACGATGGTGGACGACGGTGGACAATGGTGCCTCGAATTTACCAAGTATAAAGCTGAGAAATCAGAGAAGAGGAAGAGAGAGAAAAGGTGAGAGTAAAATCGAGTTTACCAAGTATAAAGCTCGAACATGGATGAAAATAGAAGAGAGGAGCGTGAATGGAGGAAGAAAGAGAATGGAGGAAGAAATGAAGGGCGTGAATGGAAGAGAGAGAATTAGAGAAGAGTCTGGAGAAGGAGCAAGCCAGCAAGTACTCTACGCTCCTTTTTTACTTTGTTATATATTAAAAAAAAAAAAAAAAAAAAAAAAAATTACCGGGTTTCAGGTTCGGACCTGAAAACCCCAGTTTTAGACCTGATCCGAACCGGAACCGGAAACCTTAAATTTCAAGGACCAGGACCGGACTTTAATCTACAGGTCCGGATCAGGTCCGATTCAGATCGGTTTTCAGGTCCGGTCCTGTTTATGCACACCCCTACTGACATCCCTAGGGATGATTGGGGATCCAATCTGCGACAAGTACCTAAGTAGTAGCCGCGCTTAGGCATTAATTCCAGTGCCTTTTTTTCTTTCTTTTGGGTCATTAGACTCATTACATCTATTATTTGGTTTATAGTACTTTTTTGGGTGGATTTTGCATCTGTGAATTGGTTTGGATTTTTAAAGTTAATCTTGTGAGTAGAGAAGACGGGGAGGGGGAGGGTTGGTTACAAATTTCAGTAGCGGTCTTGATCTCGAATTTTGTTTACTGTAAAAATTTAAAATTTTGAGTTGATATTATCCAATATTTTTGGGACAAACTGGTTTCAAAAAAAAAAAAAAAAAAAAAAAAAAATAATAATTGGGACAAATTTGTCAAAGGACTAATTAAATCAAAAACTTAAACTTATGGTTGAAACCCATGATCAATTTATATGCTCTATCATGTCCCCTCATATGAGAGCCCATTGGGCTTGAAGTGTAGATGTAGCATGGGCCCCACCATACACAGTGTTTAATATTTCACTTTGAAAGGAGGGGTGAATGAGATTCGAACCCGTGACCTTTGTGTCACGCTGGCTCTTGATACCATGTTAAAACAATATGACGGCTTAATTGATTAAACTTTTGGGCTCTCATACCAAAAACTTAAGCTGATGGTTGAAGCCTAGAATGGATTTATATACTCTATCAAAACTCACAAAAGTAACGTTCAAATATTCTAAATACAAGATTAAGGAATACGAGTACTTGTGCTGTATGTACATTAATAAACTAAAATTTCACCAAAAAAACAAAAAATAAAAAAATAAACTAAACTAAACACAATTACAGTCTTAATGATACATCAAAGTATGACACAGTCAAATTTGGTATAATGTCAATGTACTAAAATGACCTTAGATATATTTTCTCAAAAAAAAAAAAAAAAGACCTTAGATATATACTTAGTACATAATTTAAATATTAGTAAAAGAATATTAAAAAACTTATAATCCCTTTGTTTCACAATTGATCTTCTAACTTTGATTATACACATTTGTCATTTGTCAATGCATTTATTTAACAAATTTAACTCGTTTTTACATGCATGAAAATCATCTTGATTTGTGTGACTAAAAACTGCTTAGTTAAACTTTAGGACTCATTTTGGTTCTTATGGATCAACTTGTGGTCAAAATTGACAAAAAAACCCCAAAACGCCTCAATTTGCGTGCTCGAAATTGTTTCAATATGCGTGATTAAGAAAATTTCTTTGCTAAAGTTTTAGGGGATCATTTAGCTCTTAAAAGTCCAAGTAGAGGTTAAAAATAACAAATTTACTAGAGACATCGATTTGCGTACTCGAAAATTGTCTCAATTTACGTGCCGAGAAAATTGCTCGGTTATAGTTTTCGGGAGTCGTTTTATTCCATAAAGTTTTGAAAAAATATCATAAACCTTTCGATTTGCGTGCCAAGAAATGTCTTGATTTGCCTGCCATAGGTTAATTAGGATTAATCCCTCCGTATTTTAATAAGTATTACACTTCCTTTTTTAGCAAAAAATTACATTTAATATTGTATCTTTCTTTTTTCACAGTCGCCACACAAACTCACTACTAGTTTTTGTATTATTTATTTCCTCTCACATTCATTATTTTTCAATAAACTATTAATAACCCCTCTATTTTTCTTTTATAATTTTTTAATACTCCAACTACCCTACTTACCTCTTATTTTATTTAGGTTAATTAAATTGCCTAAAACTATGTGCCGGTCAAAGTGTAACACTTATTAAAATATGGAAGGAGTAATAAAGGGTTAATTGCTAGGGTCCGTTTGGTATCGCTGTGGTTTTCTATTTTTGGTATTTTGTTTTTCAAAATCATATGATACATGTTATATGATATATAATGAGTTAAAAATTGGTTTAACTTATTAAAATCAGTATTATTACTATGAAAACTGACAACATGAAAGTGAAAACACTTTTTTCTTGTTTTCTTTTTTGGTTTTTTGTTTTAAAATAAATCAATAAACCTGAAAACAAAAACGATGTCAAACACGCGTTGAATTAGTGGTTTCACCTTATATAAAAGCCACAATTTTTTATAAGATGATTTTTTTTTTTTACTTAGAAAAATCCAAATTTTTTAAAAGGTTAATTAGCTTTTTTATATAAGGTAAAATTAACGATTTTTTTTTCAGAAACAAAAAAAAAAAAAAAAAAAAAAAAAAAAAAAAAAAAAACATTTCTAAAAATGACGACGTGAACGGAATTTAGATAAAAATAAGTAGTATGATCGTGGAATTTTAATTTCTTTTAGGGTCGTTTGGTTCAATAAGATGGAATGAATTGATATGGATCCTCATACTTGGGTTGGTATGGATTTTATATCCTATATCAATCTAAAGTTGTTTGGTTTAATCATGAAATAAATTCTCATGTTTGAGTGGTAGTATGGATTATGAATCCTTAGAGAAGGTGGGTATAAGATTCCAAGTGAATGGGGTGGAGTTAGAATCCCCTAATTATGATATTTCATACTTGAAAAGCCCAACTAAACAAATAAAAATATGGAATGAATTCTACATGCATTCCACTCCATTCCAAGAAGTTCAAACAAACCGCCCCACAGTGAATTTTAGAAATCGCTCGAGAATTTGGGGAATTTAATTATAATTTCCCAAAGTGGTTGTTGGGTTGTTTGTATGTCGTTGAAAGTTGGGTTGCTTTAGAAGCTTAGAACCCTAAAACCCCCCAAAAACCCCCAAAAACAAAAACCTGGGAAGAAATGATAGGACGAGCCAGAGCAATTCAATTGCTCCAAAAAGGATTAATGTTTGAAACCCAGAAAATAGTTTCCTCAAATCTGAGTTCTGGTTGTGTAAGAAGAAGCAGCAGCAGTTATGTCACCCAAATGAGAAAGTCGAGCATTGATGCAAATACCTTGCGACTTCTCCGCAATGAGATTCAATATGAAGTTGATTGTTCTCCTCTCCAACAGGTTTTTTTTTTTTTTTTTTTTTCTCCTTTAAATGCATTGTTTTTCAAGTCTAGTAAGTGATTCATTGTTTATTGTTGTTAGCTAACCCATGGTAAGGAAATCAATCATCCCGCTCTCTCTGATTAATTATCGGGATTAGTCAATCAAGCGCAAATCCATCTCTTAATGGATTAATTATGTGCATTGATGCAGATTTGCTAACATCTAATTATGCATACCAAGTATGTTTTAATAGACGAAATTGTTTATATTGTCAATGTCAATAACACCTTTTAAATTGTGGAATTAGAAGCTTAATTTGTTTTCTGTTATTAAATAATTTACCTTCACTCTTTAGAATCCTTCTCTTCTCTGTTGTGTATGGATTTTCTCATGTTTCTTTTCACAGCCACCTTTTGAGATCAATGGATTCAAGGTGGCTGAGCGGCCTGGTGAGCAGTGGATTAGCTTGGAAAAACAATTTGGAGAGAATGAAGTGATTAAACTCGAAGCCACTATGTTTAATGGTTCAGTCCCTGTTCCTAACCAGGGTGAGAAAGCTGGTCTGCCTGGCCAGGATGTTCAATTGCATATATCGATGATAGTTAGTATTTTCAAGAACAACTCTAACCAAGTCCTCGAGTTCGTCTGCTCTGCTTGGCCTGACACTATAGCAATCTCTAAACTTTTTGTGCGTCAGCAGGCTAAGGTGCCACTTAACCCTTATACCGGTCCTAAATTCAGGTAGTGATAATCTGCTAATCTAATCGTTTCCTGTTTGATTTGCTTATCTCATGAAATTAAAGGATACAAAATTGTTATAGGCTCATTTGGAAATAAGAGTCGTACAAATGTGTTGAGTTCCCTTTTAGTGAAGCTTCTATGTAGCTTTCTTATAAATTAAGGCAATCACTTGTGGCAGTTACTTTCTTGTTTAGCTATATTGATCTGCTGAAAAACTTGTGATTTTTTCCATTTTTCTCATCTGATAGTTTCTTCCCATGACCTAATTTGCTTATTCTTCCTTGCACCTACAATTTTTGTTTTTAGGGAGTTGGATGATGAGCTACAAGATTCACTGTATGAATTCTTGGAAGAAAGGCAGATAGATGATACACTTTGTGTTTTCTTGCACAACTATGTAAATTATAAAGAGAAGGCTGAATACATTCGTTGGATGAACTCTGTAAAGTCAGTGATGGAGAAGTAGCATGTTTGCCTCTAGATGAATGTGCTTGATGGCGCAACTTGAGCAGTTATCATGAATACTCAATCTATAATGGTCACTTGTGCTCTAATGTAAGTGATGGGATTTTCTGCAAGGATTTATTTTTCCATTTCGGCAGGTACAATTGTGATTTCCATAATAGAAAATAACTGCAAACTACTGCGTTATCTATGGGTTTTTGTTTTCGTTTTGTTTTGTTTTGTTTTATTTTTATTTTTATTTTTATTTTTTATTTTTATTATTTATTTATTTATTTATTTATTTTATTGTTATTATTATTATTATAAAAAATAACAAAGACCTACAAAATCAATCGATTTACAAGAAATTAGTAGGGAGCCGAGATACAATCTGGCCCTCACCTTTTAGCTATAGTGAACTCGATCCTGTTGAATATGTGAGCAGCTGCATGAGCACCGATATTTTGAGTCCTAGCAAACGTCTGAACCCGCTTTAGCAGCGCAACAACATCCTTCTCTAATTCCCCAATGAAGAAAAGGAGAAAGGAAGAAAACCATAGCCAATAGCTCTGCAACGCGCCCCATACTTGTCTTGCTTCCGCTGAGCCGCAACCAATACAAAACGACCAAGAACGAAGTCAGACAACCCAGATTGCGTCAAAGGAGAAGACCCCGTCAAGTCAACACATACATCAAGGCCTCTATCCCAGGAATAAAGCAACACATACATCAAACAACCCAACTTTAACCTCCTTTCTTGCAGAAATCCCATAGTGAAAACAAATATCAACAAGGGTATCACGAACAACGTTGTGTCGATGTTTAATACCCACCATCCCAGCACAAGACACTGCATGATCCTCATAAATATCCCTATTCATAACCCTTGAGCAAGCAGAACACGGTGCCGTAACGGAGAACAAGGGAACACCCAACCGACAGCAAATAACACAACGGAAAGTCTTCCCATTCATAGTCTGACCCAAACCTGATATCGAGACCGCTCGCAACCAGGCAGAAGTGTGATCACCCTGGTGGGACTTCCATAAGGCAACCTGACGCGAAGGTAAGGAGAAAGTGGATTCTACAGATGCAGTGACTTTTGTGAAATATATATCTACCAATTTCTTCATGAGTTTGGGGGCAGCGATCTCATTGGGGTTACGCATAAGGTCAGTCTCCACAGTCCTATTAAAAAGACTAAGAGCACCATCGAAGGCTAGTCTTGGACCAACAATGCCAGAATTGCGAAGAAGTGTAGCCTGAAGACCAGAAGACTGCAAACGCGACGCAAGAAAAGCATAATGCCAAACATCACTCGCTGAATAGACACCCAATCCACCATAAGAAAAAGGTAAGATAGCAAGTCGCCATTGCCAATCACCAAAACTTGGCCCCGAAGCAGCAATGCGCTCCAAAGAAGCTCGAAGGGCCATATCAAAATAAATCTGGGCCGCTTCAAAAAGTCGAGGAGGACAAGTGCGCATAGAAAAGTAGAGTTTTGAAACCCCAGTACATGCACGAAGTAGTAACAACTCACATTGGGGATCATCAAGATTAGCAACAACATCCATTAGCACAATGGCCTTCGACAGTCTGTGCGAAACAAGCTCACCACAGAAAGAGGAATCCACACTGACAAGATCACCAAGCAACTTAACGCCATGCACAGGACGAGCAATATTTGAAGGAAAGACACCGACCAAACGACTATTTTTTTTTCTTTTAATTTTAACTAGGGTGGCTAGCACGCGCGTTGCACACACCATAGCTAGCTATTCCCGAGGAGCTTTTTCAATTGTTTGCAACATGATGAGGGAAAATATACAAACAAATATTTTTAGGGGGTATAAATGTTCACACACCATTTTTAAGAGTTTAAAAAAAAAAAGCAATTAACATTAAATCATAAGAGTAAACAAACATTTTAAAGATATAATTGTTGTATAAGTGTTCTCGTACTTTTTAAAAGGTAGGAAAATAAATAATATAGAAGGGTAAATAAATAAAACAAATATATTAAGGGTGAATATGTAAATGATCATTTCAAGGGGCGTAATTGTCTCAATAGTATTCATAAGATGAGTTAGGAGGAGTTGGGGGTAAATAGGTAAATGAACATTTTTAGGGATAAAGTTGTCTCAACACTATTCATAAGAGTTGAATCATACTTTTGAAAAAGATGAAGACTCTACTGAGTGAACGCCTCTCACAAGTTGAACTAACCCAACTTCGCAAGTCAAGGTTTGAAAGTAGAAGGGGGATCCCCCTACTGCCAAACAAATGTAGTTGGTGAGGCTCGAACTCGTAACCTCAAAATCATAAGGTGAGTTCTCAATTCCCCACCAATTTCACAAAACTTTGCTTTTACCAAGCAAAGCGTTATCTATGTACCGTAGCATATATTGCTGGTATTCTGTGTACAAGGCAGGGGAAGATAAAAGAACCAATATCAGTTTCATATCTACATGCACATGACATGGTGATGGTTGAACAAAGTCTATGGCTTTAGAGTCTTCATGGTTGTTTTTGGATACTTATTCCTCAGTATTCATTACAATATTACATGTCTAATGTCTTGGATTTGAGCCCAATTTTACATACATCAGGATGGGAAATGATTTTGGCACTTTAAAATTGATTTTGGCACACCTCAATGTGAGAGCACATTTTTCTATGCTCTTTTTATATAGGCGTGTACCAAAATCAATTAAAGGTGTGTCAAAATCAATTTCCCATCCGGAGTGATAGTACATTGTATAATGTGATTGAAACTTTGTGTACAGATCTTCCTAATATCTTGGCCTGTCCCATTTATTAGAATGTTTACTTTCTTAATCAAATGATTTTGTCACGTTGTGCAGCTTGTACTAATCATGCTATTCATGCATAGAAGAACAACATACTTCATATAAATAAATAAATAAAAACAAAGGTGTAACTTGAGAAGATTGATTATTGAATATTAGTATCGGATCATCATCTAGATAAAAAAATAAAGAAAGAAAAGAAAAGGTCTAATTTTCTTACGACAATTATAATTTTCAAGTAAAAAATAAAACTGCATCTTACTTCTCCATCTAAGTATGTTCAAGTAGTTAAATTCGAATTATACAACTAATCTAAAAATATCAAAAAGTAAACATTGATATGTTTCAGATCCGTTTTTCTCTAAAAAGGACCCGAATCCGATTTAGATTCGTCGGGTTAAGATCTGTTGCCATTTCTATATGTTCATATGTCTACATGTAGGGGTGTCAATTCGGGTAAACGGTTCAGTTTCAGGTTGGGTTTATCGGTTTCGGGTTATAACGGGTCGGGTTATAACGGGTTGAAATTATTAGCAGGTCGGTTTTGAAAATTATCAGGTCAGCTCGATTTGGTTTTTTTTTTTTTTTTTTTTTTTTATTGCGGTTTCTATTATCGAGTTAGGTTGTAATCGGTTTGGGTCATAATCAGTTTGGGTTGAACCGGATCAGTTTGAAAACGGGTTTAGTCAATTAAAAACGGTTTGGTTCAAAACATTTCGGTACCTAATTGGGTCGGGCTGTAATCGATTTGGGTCATATCAGTTTGGATTAAATTGAGTTGGTTTAAAAACGGGTTTCGGTTCAAAATAGATTGGTCGAAATCGGGTCTGTTCATTATTAGTTCGGGTCATAATCGGTTTGAGGTAAACGGGATCGGTTTGAAAACAGATGTACCCAATTTGAAGCGGGTTTCAGTTCAAATCATATCGGGTTAAAATCGATTCGGATCATTTTCGACTCAGATTAATCAAATAAGGGTAGGAATGGGTCAGGTTATAATCGAGTTATGTCTTAATATGTAGGGTTTATTGAGTAGTGGGTTGAAATAGATCAGATCATAAACATATTGGGTTACGGGTCGCCAACGGTTCAGTCATAATGGATTATGGGTTGTATACAGTTCGGTCTCAACGGGTTATGAGTTGTAAACGGTTCGATCTCAACGGGTTACGGGTTGAAAACGGTTCGGTCATAACAGGTTACGGGTTATAAACGATTCGGTCACAACGGGTTATGGGATGGAACGGTTCAGGTTTATTAGATTTTTACCGGGTTTAAACAGTTTTTGCTTAAAATGGGTCGGATTACTATCGAGTTCGGATGTAATCGGTTAGGGTTGCTTTCGATTTCGGGTTGTAATGGTTTTGTTTGATAACGGGTCGGGGCGTAGCGAGTCGCTAAAGCGAAGTTTTTGGATCGTAGGGGGCGGGGGGAGCGGTCAACTTGATGCGGAAAAGGCAGCCCCCGCCCGTTTGAAGTCGTTGCGAGCCGGAAAGCGTACTCTATGGTCTCAACGCCCTTACGAGGTAGTGAATGTTCCTGCTTATTAGGCAGCCTCGAAATGGACAAGCCTTGTCTACAAAGCAGAGCGACCTCGTCTTGCTTGCTTCTGGCGAAACTTCGGAAAGTCTGCTATTTACTGTAGGAGGATGCCTATTGATATTGTTGAGAATATATTACATTTCGCTACCTTAGACAGTTAGAGTTACTGCCGCCGTTTACTGGGGCTTCCATTCAAAGCGAATGCTGACATGAGTAACGAGAAATCCTGTGAAAAACACGATCGCCTGCCAGGACTTCGGGGATCACTGCGGCGTGACTGAATGTAGAGCAGTCCGCTCTTACAGCATGAGCCTGGTTTGTATATTTGTACGCATTGGCTTAACTTGCATCTTACTGACCCTCATCTTTTTGCAAAAAGCCGCTCCATGGTAGTAAAGTCTCATCTTGTGGCACACACACGGGACCTGACCTACTAATCATCATCTCATCTAGCGCGAAGCAAAAAGAAAGGTCCCCCTTCCCGGCCCCCCTAGCCACCTACCTACTCGTGCTCGTAGCCCGATCGGAGGTAAGTGTTTCATTTTGGGTTCGGAGCTTGAACGGAGCTGTGCCAATTCGATCAAGTAATTGAAGTGATAGTATTAGTTTAGACTCCAAGGCTACCCTTCCTGCCTTTTTGTGAAAGCTAGTGTCAGGAAACATAGGCAACCTGGTACTCTGATATCTCTGGTTTAGGTGAAAGGGCTGGTCCGTGAGAGCTCATTAACGGTTTGCACAAATTCGGTTCAGTTCAGTTTTGGGTTGGAAAAAATTAGGTTGGGTTGGTTTTCGGTTTTCAAAAAATGGGTTTTTAACAGTTCAGTTCATTTTCAGATCGGTTCGAAAGTCGGGTTAACGGTTCGGGTTAGAAACTGACAG